AGATTGTCTGTTTAATGCATAAAATAAGAAATTTAAAGGTTTCACGTCTTCAGGTTAACAGTTAACCTGATAAACAAAAACGAGAAATGATGTTAAGTTCAGAAATACGTGATTATTATAAAATTTTAAAAAGAAAAATTAAAAGGAATATACCAACTAAATAATAATTACAAAAAGACAAAACTTTTTTGCTCCCTTAATAATACATGAACTATTAAATTTTTCCTTATTAATACTCATACTAAGTTACTATCAAACCTTGAAAGTTTTACGTCCGTATTTTAATGAATGTTAACCCGATAAATTGAAACCAAATTGAAACTCGTTAAGATCGTTTCTTAGGTTGACACATACTATAGTTTAACCGACGTTAATTCGATAATCAAAAATCAAAAAAGTTGTTCAGTTATAAATATGTGACTTATAAAAATTAATAAATCCTATAGTGTCTTCAACTTCTACTCCAAATAACTAAGAGAGCGTCTTCAACTTTTGCTTCAAATAACTAAGAGAGATCATGCTCTTTTCAAGTTCGTTATGTCAACGACATGCGACCATGGATAGTATTAAAACATACAAAAATCAATCTCAAATAAGCTAGCCACACAAATGATTAAACTATCTAATATGTTGGTTCAGAATCAATTCATAATGAACTATAAACTCTTCCTCTTTTTTCTTTTTTGTTTTTGATCGAAAAACTATTCCTCTTTAATGCTCACAACTAGTGTTAAACTTTTCCGCTCTACAAAGCATGTGGCGCGAGGAGCTTGGCAAAAAACAACAAAAGCATTTTTTGCGTTTCAATTTATAACATTCGTTAAAATGTGGATGTTATACTTTCAAGGTTTGTTAGTATGAGTATTAATAAGAAAAAACATTAATAGTTCATGTTTTATTCGTTAGAAAAATAGTCTGTGATTTTTGTAAATGATTATTTGGTAAGGATTTTTTTTTCAAAATTTTAGTAATCATGTGTTTTTGAATATGTTATAAAAAATTCAACGTTACTACTCATATTAACAAACCTTGAAAGTATGACATCCGCATTTTAAGGTTTCAAGTCTTTACAGTGTGATCGATTCGATCTTTGTGTATGTGGTTTCATAATCAGAAGTTTTGATGACATCTGGTAAATTTGAGTTGAAGCGGTCCCCTCAGACAGTGCCAAATTGTGGGAGTCGAAAGTTGAACAATTATATTTGTAAAAACTTGTAAGGGATCTGAAACTTCTAAGTATGAAACCACAAACACAAAGATCTGAAGTTAATTTTATTGCCACTTTCGTAAGCTCTCAAAGTTACAAGTATTCTGCTAAGTCGGTTTAACGTAGTCCAAATTTGATAAGAAAAACTTCCTATTTCCGCCTCATTCTTTTTCTTTAAATCGACTCAAACTTATAGGCCTTTCTTTGACTTCACTTCTTGGGCTCCATGTCGCAAATTTGGTCTGATATGGGCTTCGGATTCGACTATGTTGATGACGAACTCGGTCTATGCTGATATGGTCCAATTCTGGTGACGACGAGGTCAGCCCAACTTCTGGCGATGACGAGCTCGACCCACTCTTGGTGATGACTAGATTGGCCCACTCTTGGTGATAATGATTTCGGCCCAATTCTGGTAACGATGAGCTCGACCCAACTGATCTAGTGATGACGAGCTCCGCCCACTCTTGATGATGACGAGCTCAGCCTGACTTCTAGCAACGAAGTTGGTCAAACACTTAGCGCTGAAGTCAGCTCAACGCTTTGTGTCGAGCTTGGCCCATTTGTTGACGATGAGCTTGGCCCAACACTTAATGTCGAGGTTGGCTCAGGATTTGATGCCAAACTCGGTCCAATGCTTAACATTGTTTCTCGTTTCCGTTTATCAGGTTAATGTTCATTAATAGGAGGGTATGAAACCTTCAAAATTCATATTTCGCATACTAAACAGGCAATCTATTTCATGTATTTTTTTGGGAACCAAAAAAGTTCGCTCATTTTTCTAGCATAAACTATTGAGTTGATGTATTTTTCAAAGTTCTTCCCATAAAATTTATTTTCTAAAATGTATTTGTTTAATACCTAATTTTCTTTAGGGATCTTTCTTTTGGATTTAGAACCTTTTCTTGTATTAAAGAGTTTGATTATTTAAAGGGTGGGGGAATTGCGCAAACTTCATTTTCTAAAAAATTATAGCGCGTATTAGAATTGTCTATAAAACAAATTTCTTTGGAACAATTTTTATAATTTGTAATAATTAATCTAGAGAACAAAAAA